ATCCACCATTACCGTCCATCTTGTAAGGACGACGGCTAGAAGGGCCATAGGAACATACTTCCTCCTATTGAGCAAGGGGCTGGGGACACTAGGGAAGTGCACCTTCTGGGCCTGAGGTCTCAGTTGCAGAACCAGGGGACCCCTCCCCTTCTCCCACCACCACCATGACTCCCCACCCCCCACATACCCCAGCACTGGCGGGCTTGCCTTCACCCTCAGGGTCAGAGCCAGCCTCCCTTGGGGGCCACCTGAAAGCACGTCTGTGCCTGAACACCCACTTCCTGTTGCAGGCAGACGACAACCAGTTCCTGTGGGAGCTGGTGGGAGGCCCGCCCAGGACCAGGAACGTGACGGCCTGCTGGCAGGAGGGCCGGGTCTTCGCGGACAACGAGACCTGGGTGGTGGACAGCTGCACCACCTGCACCTGCAAGGTAAGGCACAACCCCCGCCCCTCCTCACGGTCAGGCGCCGTCCCCACCCCTCCTCACGGTCAGGCGCTGTCCCCACCCCTCCTCACGGTCAGGCACCGTCCCCACTCTGTTGTGTACAGTACCAAGTGCACTCGGTGTCCACTTGTGGTCACTCCCTGTGGTTATCACGACGTGCTCCTGCCGCTCATGGGCACCTAACTGCCACCCGGGACGGCCGAGACCACAGTCCACACAGGCAGGAGCTCAGGCAGCTGGTGACGCGGCACCAGGCTTGTCCTGTGTGTTTGGTGCCACCTGTGCTGCTGGGCACCTGAGTCAGCAGATGACACCCTGGGAGATGCCAGTCACTCTCCAGTGCCTGGATACATGATGTGGATCTCTGGCTTCTCAGTGGCCTGGACCCAGGGGTGCTGGCCCTCACACCCACCCTGCAGGCTGGAAGGAGAGAGAGGGCAGACAGCCACCAGGCTTTTGAATCTACCTGTTAGACCCCCGGCTGTGGAGGACAGGGCAGCACACAGCCCACCCTCGCCCAGTCAGCCCCGGGCCCATCTTTCACAAAGCTTCTGCTTGCTGGTTCTGTTTCCCACTGGTGCTGTATCGATGCTTCTGTTTACTTGTAGAAATTTAAAATTGTTTGCCACCAAATCACCTGCCCACCAGTGACGTGTGCAAACCCATCCTTCCTGGAAGGCGAATGCTGTCCTTCCTGCTTTCCCGGTAAGTGCCCCGCCTGAGGGTGGGGGCGTCGGTGCACGGGAGGGGCGGGGCCTAGACCCACACTCACACCACACACAGACACACACCACACACAGACACACAGTAAACACACACATACACACAGTAAACACACACATACACATAGTAAACACACACATATGCCACACCGCAAACACATACACCACAAACACATGTACAGAGCAAACACACACACACCCTACCACAAACACATACACTCACACACCACAAACATACACTAAACACACACACACACGTGGAGCATCAGACACAGGCTGATCCCTTTCTCAGGGGCTAACCTCAGGATGGCATTTGTGCCCCTAGAAAAAAAAGTGGACCCTTGCCAAGTGCCCCTGATGAGGTGCCGGGGGTAGTGTGGGGGCCGAGGGAAGGATGAGGGCCGGGAAGCCAGGAGCTTGAGCTGGGGGAGGGGCTCTCTCAGGTCCCTGTTTTGCTCCTGTGCCCTGTCAGTCTTCTGTGGGGCAGCTCTGCGCCCCTTCTTGAGTGACTCCCTAATGCCAGGCCACACAGCCCAGCACCCAGCGCCTGATGTCCTCAGTTCTCAGGAAACACCCGCCATCCCCCAAACAGCTCCTTGCAGCCACGCCTCCACGTGGCTTTTCAGTCCTTCTCCCCACTGAGGCGGACGCCCCACCAACCAAGCTCCCCGCTAGTGAGGGACGCTCCGCACAGCCGGCCTGCAGGAGGACAGAACTGCCCTGCACCTTTCTGAGCCAGGAACTCTGGTAGGCAGCAGACAGCCTCCTCTGTCTTCTGAGGAGTGGCTGGTGGTTTCAAACCCTTGACCTCTGAGCTCGACAGGGCCCTGTCCTCTGGGGTTCTCTGACAACACGGGCTTCCCGGTGTGCGACTTTGTCTCACCTGGGCCCCTGGCTGGTGCGAGAGTGGACAGGCTGTAGGTCTGAGTCCACACAGAGGCCCCGTGACGGAGAGGCCTGGCAGCATCTCCACGCGGCGCCAGCCCCTGCAGCCTGCTGGCTGCGCACCTCTGTGACTCCTTGGTGGACAGCAGGCAGGACGACCCGGCCCCCGGCGCTGGGCGCTGAGCTCTCGCTCTGTTCTGGGGCTCTGAAGAGAAGCCCCTAGAATTGGCTGTGCCCTGTGTGCCTGCTGTGCTTGGACGCCCGGCCTGGAGATCCCCTGGGTCTCTGGCTTGGCAGTGGTGCAGGGCTGGGCCAGTGCTCGTCTTGTGCTGGTGTTCAGGGTGTGTGTTGTCCTTCAACTGCTCAGCAGTGGGCATGCACAGCAGATGGGTGGCACTCGGCGATTGCCCCCTTTCTTTGTTTCAGCTTCAGGCCCGGATGTCTCCCCTCTCCTGTGATTGCGACGGTGAAATGCACAGGGTGTCCATGGGATCTGACCATTAGGGCCTCCCACCAAGTAGAGGGAGGGCATCTAAGCAGAGGGAGAGGCCCCCTTGACCACTTCCTGTCTCCATTCCTGCTCTCCGCTGGGTTACTCCCAGGACTCTGTGGGGCACGGCGGGCTCTTAGGCGCCAGAGCGGCCCAGGTGGGGAGGCTGGGGCCCTGTTGCTGGCCAGCCAGGTGCTCCCCTATAGTCCTGCCCTGTCCCTTCTGGCTGTCAGGGATTGTGATGGCTTGTCTGAAACCACTGTGGGTGCTTCATAGTGGTTACGTGTTGGGCTGAGATCCACATGGTCAGTGGTTCAAAACTACCAGCTGTTCCTCGGAAGAAAGATGGGGCTCTCTGCTGGAGTGAACAGTGACAGTCTGGGACTCCCATGGGGGTCGTTGTGAGTCAGCACTGTCTCGCTGGCAAAGGGCTTGGCCTGGCTTTTGAGCTTGTTCAGCATGAGTGCTAACCCGTATGTCAACTAAGAGCTGCGCTGGCCACTCCCCAAGCCAGAAAGACTGTCATGGACATGGACTTCCCCGTGTGGCCCAGCAAGCCTCCTGGAAGCAGGGTGGACACTCTCTCTTGGAAGATGGTTTACCACTTCGGCCACTGAGCTCCCAGAGTGAGTTCCTGGTGGGTTGGAGGAATGCTGAGCCCCTCAGAGCCCCCAGAGCAGAAGGCTGCCTACCCAGAGCCCAGAGGCCTGAGTTCCGATCTCAGCAGCTGCTGGGTCCAGGCCAGTGAGGTGGCCGGTGTGACCTAACCGCACCCTGCTTCCCTCCCCCCAGCCCCTGACAGCGAGGAGGGCTGGTCCCCCTGGGCTGAGTGGACCCGGTGCTCGGTGACCTGCGGTTCGGGGACCCAGCAGAGAGGACGGTCCTGTGATGTTACCAGCAACACCTGCCTGGGGCCCTCCATCCAGACGAGGCTGTGCAGCCTGGGCAAATGCGACGACCGCAGTGAGTGTGGAGGAGCCCTGACCTGGTCAGGGAGGTGACCGTGCGCGTGTCAGACAGCACTGACTTGTTCAGTGAGATTGCAGGGCCTCTCCTCTGGGCAGCCATTCCTAGAGCCACCCGAGCCTCGGGGAAGGCTGTCCTGGATCAATCCTGGGAGGCAGGTGCAGCTGCTCTGCTCTGCTGAGGGCTTCCTGTCGGCCGAGAGAGTGACCGCCAAGCGGCCTCCCTTGGCAGCTACGTCACATCTGGCAGCCACCTAGCAGCAGGCTGGGGCCCCTCCTTGGGCAATCCACCCCTCCTGCACTGACCTCCTGCCCTGTCTCCTCCTGCACTGACCTCCTGCCCCGTCCCCTCCTGCACTGACCTCCTGCCCTGTCCCCTCCTGCACTGACCTCCTGCCCTGTCCCCTCCTGCACTGACCTCCTGCCCTGTCCCCTCCTGCAGTCCGGCAGAATGGCGCCTGGAGCCACTGGTCACCCTGGTCCTCCTGCTCAGCCACCTGTGGTGTCGGCAACATCACCCGCATCCGTCTCTGTAACTCGCCCGTCCCGCAGATGGGCGGCAAGAACTGCAAGGGGAGCGGCCGTGAGACCAAGGCCTGCGAGGGCGTCCCCTGTCCTGGTATGTGCACGTGTCCAGGCCACACAAAGCCCCACCTTCCCCCAGCAATGGCCCTTCAGGGGAGCCGGCTCACAGGCATCAACAGACAGTGGGGGCAGACGTCATCGCATGCATGCAAGGTACAAGCCATGCCTAACCATGGTCACGTTCAACTAGCGTCTCAGAAGTGGAGGCCTTGTCTGTGATACGAGGTGCTCCAACCACGTGTGGCCCTTTGCCGCCAGGTCTGTGATCTGGCGAGCAGTCACCTGGCTTGCTTCCCAGGTGTGTGCGTGAACCTCACTGTCCCTCCCAGGCCCTGGCCCAGGATGGGCTGCCCGTGGGGACGCCTGTCTGTGGAGGGCTCGGCTCCGTGGCCACGGCCCTGGAGCTGGTGCTTTCTGAAGGGACATCAGTTCTGGTTGGGACGCCCGCCCAGGGTCTGGCTGGCTGGCTCAGTGGAGACGGGATTCGTCCCTTAGAGTAAGAGACATGGAAAAGGGTGCAGGAAGGAGGGAAAGGTAGAGGCTTCCCTGGAGGGGGTGCTGGGCTCCAAAGACACCTGCTCAGGAAAGGAGACGGGCAGCAGAGAAGAGGACGCCCTGGATAGGACGGCGCACACGACAGCACCCGTGGGATGGCGCAGGGTAGGCGGCGCTTTGTTTGATTGGACGCAGGGCCACCACGGCTTGGAGCCAGCTACATGGCCCCTGACACCACCGTGAACCAAAGACACCCCATACCGTGCTGAAGGCACAGGGTGTCAGGGCGTGAAACAGCTGCTGTGGAGATGGTGCACTTCGCAGGGTCCCGCCTGCGTCAGGGGACCACGCACCACAGGGTTCTCAGACGCGGTGGGCAGGCCTTCCTTCGTGGCTGCCTGGATGGTCCAGAGTGTCCAGCCTCTCAGGTGCAGCCCAGGCTACTAACTGCGTGCCCACCGAGGATCCTGCTCACAGCCTGTGTGACTCATCAGTCTCCCCACCCCTTGTCCCAGTGCCAGGCACACCCCCCCCCTGCATTCCTGATGCCTCTGTGCTCTGACCTGTGTTTGCTGTCCTCACAGTTGACGGCCGGTGGAGCCCCTGGTCCCCGTGGTCAGCCTGCACAGTCACGTGTGCTGGAGGCATCCGTGAGCGGACTCGGGTCTGCAACAGCCCAGAGCCCCAGCATGGAGGGAAGGACTGCGTGGGAGACACCACGGAGCAGCACGTGTGCAACCGCAGGAGCTGCCCAGTCGGTGGGTGGGGCCAGCGTGCCCTGAGGGGGCGTGGCCGGGGGTGAGTGGGCGTGTTAGTGAGAGGAGGGCATGGCATGGTGGGCCTAGGTCAGTGGTGGGTGGGAGTCTATGCATGATGGGTAGGGCATGAGAGCAGAGAGTGTAGGTGGGCACACCGGGTGTGTAGCTGGTGAGCCCACGCAGTGAGGGTGGATGGGGTGTAGAGGTGGGGCCTGAGGATATGGAGGTGGGTAAATGGAGGATGTCAACGGCGGACAAAGTAGGTGGGTGGTGGACAGGCTGGGCTGGTGGGGCTGAGGTCTGCTGGTGGTGCATGGGGCACTTGGCACGTTGGTGGTGGATGAGGGGACTTGTCCATGGGCCTCCTACGTACACAGTGGGCTTCGGTTTGCTCATAGCTTCTGCATACTGCCCTCTTTCAATAATCACTGGTTCTTCATCCTGGCTAAAAGTGCAGACATTTGGGGGAACCGACTAAGCAGTATAGACTCGCTCCCTGCGATCGGGTCAGTGCTGACTCACAGCAACTCCAAGTGGGTTTCAGAGATGGTAACTGTGCACGGGAGTAGAAAGCCCAGTCTTCCTCCCTCAGAGCTGCTGCAGGCTTTGAACTGCAACCATGCAGATCACAGCCCAATGCATGCACAGGACACCACCAGGGCTCCATAGTATAGACTAGAAACTGAAACTGGATTCTAGTCACACTCTGCAAAGGAAGCGGTTGTGTGTTTTAAAACCATCAGCATTACAGCCACGTCTCACACCGGTTGGCCGTGCTACACATGCACATCAGACAACATGAGTGGCTTCAGCCTTCTTCACCACACAGCGGAGTGACAGGGGAGCGTCTGTACCTGTAGATATTGCCTGGACCGTCTGAGTCTCCAGGGCCATGGCCGTGGGTGGGGTGCAGCCCAGGGACCTCGGGGCACACCTGGTTTTGACCACTTACAAAGAGGGTCAAGTGATGGTCACTGTGATGGCAGCTGGCCCCAGTGGCATCAGCAAGCATTCCTCACTGGCCCTGATGGCGTGGTGGGGCTCTTTGTTGGGTTGGGTGGAAGACGAGGCTTTCTACTCCCGCTAAGATCAGGTCTCGGTAACCCACAGGGCAGTTCCACTCTGTCCTCTGTTTTCCATGAGTGGGAACGGTCTCGGTGGCCGTGGGTTGGAACTTGAGTGTCGACCCTCTGGGCCCAGGAGTGCTGTCATCCGACTGGCCCCTGACTGTGTCATCTCCCCCACAGACGGGTGTCTGTCCAACCCCTGCTTCCCCGGGGCGCAGTGTGACAGTTTCCCTGATGGCTCCTGGTCCTGCGGATCCTGTCCGGCTGGATTCCTGGGCAACGGCACCCACTGCGAGGACTTGGATGAGGTGGGGTCCCTGCCCCGCCCATGGTGGGAGCGGGCTTTGCGTGGGTTAGGAGGGCCCACCGCCCACCATCTGCTTGTCTCCCGCAGTGTGTTGTGGTCACTGACGTCTGCTTCACGGCCAATAAGGCGCACCGCTGCGTGAACACAAACCCCGGCTTCCACTGCCTGCCCTGCCCGCCCCGCTACAAGGGCAGCCAGCCCTTTGGGGTGGGCTTGGAGGCTGCCAGGGCCGAGAAGCAGGTGAGTGGTGCCGCCCAGCTGCGGTGTCCCTGAGGCCTCTGCCCTGCTCCTCCTCCATGCCACATCCTTCCGTTCACCTTTGTGCCAGTCCGGGTCGACTAGAAAAACAAATCCAGGGAGACTCGCATGTGTATCAGAAAGAGTGTTATATGAAAGAGCAGTTGTGATTAAGAAAACACAGTCCAATCCAGTCCAGATCAAGTCCATAAATCTGATTAGTCCATATGTCGATATTAGTCTATAAATTCCTGTTCTGGCTCATGAAACACATGCAATGACGCTGAATGCAGGAAGATCACAGGCCAGTGGTTAGAGAGTCTTGTGGATCCAGTGGCAGTGGGAGCATCTCAGCGCTGGCAGGGGTCTCCACGTGGCCCCTCCGGCTCCAGGGCTCTAGTGCAGCTCCATGTGTCTTCTCAAGAGGAAGGTCTCGCAGGGACTGAGTGTGTATCCTGCCTCCAGCCAGCCATTTATCTCCTCAGCGCCTCCAAACGAGGTCATCAGGCTGCGCTCTAATTGACAGGCTAAACTCCACCCCTTCACTCTTAAGTCTCAAATTGACAACAGATGGTGTAACTACCACAATCTTCTCCCCCTCCCCCTCCTGCACCTCCATCCTCTTCCTCCTCCTTCCACAGCTCCTTCTTCTCCTCCTCCTTCCTCAGCTCCTCCCCCTCCTCCCTGTCTATCAAGACTGTTTCAGAGAATAGGGGGACAGGCGTAGGGAAGACCAGGGTGGGCATTCAGTGTTGCTGGTGAGAGTAGGGCAAGAAGGGCTGACCTCCCGCCCCGCTGAGAAAACACGGCCTCAGGGTGCGCCGATGAGCTGTGAGCCAGACCTGGGTGGGTGGTAGGCAGAGAGCTCAGGGGGTTAGACCTGAGTCAGGTTCTTAACTCTGCTGACTGGTTATTTGAGGCCCAACCATCCTGCCCAGCCAGCTCCTATAAAGCCCGGTATTGCTTTCAGGCTTACAAGCTGCGTAAACTAATATAAGTACAAACACCAGTTAGCTCGTGGCTGGGCAGTTACGTCGAGGCAGGGGAACACACGGGCACCTGAGCAGTCCACGAGGTGTGAGATGCCGCTGACACCTGTGGCTGCCCTCTTGTGGACGGGCAGACATGCTCCTCTTACTCAGCAGCCAATGGAGCAGGCTCCCAGCCACCTCGGGAAGCGCAGCCCCAGGCCTCCTGCCTTCTCAGTCCTCTCCACGGCAGCCCGGTGAGCAGGCCCAGGACCTGTGCTTCTGGCCACCAAGCCCATGCCCTCACCCAGCATGTCACCCGCAGGTGTGTGAGCCCGAGAACCCGTGTAAGGACAAGACTCACAGGTGCCACAAGAACGCCGAGTGCATCTACCTGGGGCACTTCAGCGACCCCATGTACAAGTGCGAGTGTCAGACAGGCTACGCTGGCGACGGTCTCATCTGTGGGGAGGACTCGGACCTGGATGGCTGGCCCAACAAGAACCTGGCCTGTGCTATCAACGCCACCTACCACTGCACCAAGGTAGGCCGGTGGCAGGGACAGGATGGGGTGGGGCGCAGTCCAACAGTGCTGCTGGCTCTGACCTGTGGGGTCCTTGTGTGAATCCGAGTGGAATTGTGCTCTGAGAAGTTTCAGAAGTCAGTCACTGAGGGTGTTGGGTTGGGTTCTCCGGAAAAGCAAAGCCAGTGACGCTCTGATCCATGTCTGTACAGAAAGGGATCGGCTTCAAGAGGTGGAGCCAGGCTTCTGTGGACGCGCAGAAGCTGGTGTCCAGGAAGCAGGATGGGGAATCAAAGATAGCTGGGGGCAGGGGCTGGTGGATGGAAGGTCCAAAGTAGGCCAAATGAGTCCGCCATCAGCAGTCTGCTGACGGCTCCTGAGAGCAACAGAGCACGGATGAACAAGACGCAAGATCCATCTCCGGCAGAAGTTAAGAGGCCAAGAGGATTCAATTCTGCTTGCCCACTCTCTCTTATACAGAAAGGCTTATGGCACCAAGGAGGTGACCCAAGTGGTGGTTGGGCTCTGCCTGACCTCACCCAGGAGCGTCTGTGTGACCGCATCCCTAACCCTCACAGCAAGCTTTTCTTCTGAGGCACCTCCAGGTGACTTGAGCCTGCTGCCTTTTGTTTAGCCATTGAGCATGCTAACTGTTTGCACCACTGTGACGCGATGCTTAGACCCCTCCCGGCTCCAGTCACACATGGAGGAGCCATCCGTTGTACTCGTGAGACGATGTCTTGCCCTGCACAACAGGGACACCAGTCTCTCCAGGTTATAGCCCACATGCCTCAAGGGGGTTCCCTTTCACACAATGACAGACCCACGGGTGAACGTGTCTGACCCACCTGGGTAGAATGCCGAGGGGCACTGTGGAGTAAGCATTGGATTGCAAGTTTGAACTGCAAGATCAGAGGTTCAAACCCACCAGTCCATCTGAGGGAGAAAGATGAGGTGCAGCTCCTGTAAAGACAGACAGCAGGGAGAACCCCACCTAGAGGCACCGCGAGTCAGAATTGACTCGGTGGCAGTGAGCAGAGGAAAGTGGTGTTGGGGTCAGCGACCCCAGGTCCCTCAGCGGTGTCTGCCAGGCATCTTGCCTAATGGTTCTTGGAACGTGTTGGCTGTGTTCTGGCTTGTGCTCTCAGGCGCCCCGGTCAGTGTGAAGAGCAGACACAGCGGGCATTGTGGAAACAGTGAGAGGACACGGGGCCTTGATCAACATTTTCTGGGTGACTGGGGAGACTTGGGGCCAAGAGGGGACCAAGAAGGTGGGAGGGTGCAGGCGGCTCAGGAGGGCTGGAAGTGTGGAAACTGGTGTGTCCTCAATGGATTGGGCCAGTTTATGGGCATCTGTACTTGCTTTTCCCAACAAAGAGCCTGGGGCCCAGCAGGAGGGTAAGGAAGCAACCTGGCTGCCTGAGAAAAGGGAGCTCCCATTGGGTCTTTCTGGGGTGCACAGGCACCCCTTGTCTTAGGGTGCTTCACTTTACTGACAGATACAGCTTTGTTTTCTTTTTAACAAATGGGAGGTTTGTGGCAACTCTGGACAGAGCAAAACTATGAATTTCCTAACAATATGTGCCTTTCTTCTGAGTCTTGTGACACGTTGTGTTAGGCAGGGTTCTCTAGAGAAACAAGACCAGCACATGTGTGTGTGTCCCTATATATATGTGGATAGATTTATACAGCATGAAGGAATATAACAGCTAATGTACACACAGCAGTACAGAGGGTTCAGTTCGACTCACTTCCATGGAACAGTTAATATACTGGAATTCCTTCAACTTATGTGGGCTGCTGGGTCCAAGGTCAAGGAATCAGACAGCTGGGTCTTCCCTTGGGCAATGCAGGCAGCATGTGGCCACAGGCAGCAAACAGCAGGGTCACCAACAGTCAGCAGTCCAGGAGCTTCGTGAAACAGATCCTATGGGATAGTGAACTCCAGCAATGCAAGACGACAGGATTCGCCAGCCTCAAGCTCAAGCAATGTCCACACCAGCAACATGGCGAAGCAGGTCTCAAATGAACCTCAAACTCTAGGAACACGATCCACAGGTTGGCTGTCCTACAGGTAGTGAAGCTCACAAGTTGAGGCAGAGAACTAGCTAGAACAGCTATGCACCAGAGAGCAAGAGAGTTAGGAGCGGGTGTTGCCGTGCCATTTATCTCTGCTCTCCAATCAAACTGCCACCTTATTAAACCCACATGTTCCTATTGGCCACGTTGGCACACTAAACCTACCTATCACACACATTTTGGTCATTCTCACAATATTTCAAACGTTTTCCTCATGCTCTTGAACATGTCATGTGAGGAGGTGGGTGCAAAAGTTGGTGGAAACATTAGAAGGTCAACAGAAAGGAGGAAGGCCTTTTGTTATATGGACTGATGCAGCAGTGATTGTTCTCAAACCCACCGTTTACAAGGACGGAGCAGATGGGTTCATCGGTCTCATTCGGTTGCACAGGGGCTCCCTAAGTCAGAATGGTCTCTATAGCACCCAAAGAACCCTAGATAGCCCTAAAAAAGCATAGATAGACAGCTAGCTAGCTAGATAGATACATAGATAGATAGGTGATAGATGATAGACTGCTGGATAGACAGGTGGATAGGCAGATGGATAAATAGGGAGATAGATAGGTAAGTAGGTGATAGGTAGATGAGAGGTAAGTAGGTAGGTACATGGGTGAGAGGTAAGTAAGTAAGCAGATGGATGCATGGATGGTGGATGCATGGATGCATGGCACTTACGATGACGGTGTTGCTGTTGTTGTTAGTGCCATGGAGTCAGCTCTGACTCATAGAAACCTTCTGTGTGACAGAACAAAGCACTGCTGGCCCTGCGCCGCCGTCTTCACAATTGCTATTTTGACTGAGCGCATTGTTGCAGCCACTGTGCCGATCCATCTCCTTCCTGTTTTCCTCCTGGCCCTCTACTTTACCAAGCATGATGTCCTTCTCCGGGGACTGATTGCTCCTGACAAGATGTCTAAAGTATATAAGACGAAGCCTCACCATCCTTGCCTTTAAGGAGCGCTCTGACTGTACTTCCAACAAGAGAATAAGACAGATCACTTTGTCCTTTTAGCAGTCCGTGGTACTTACGATGCTCTTCCCCAGCACCACAGTTCAAATGCATGGCTTCTTCTAGCCTTCCTTATTCAATACCCAACTCTCATATGCATATGATGCACTGGAGGATATCATGGCTAAGGTCAGGTGCATGTTAGCCCTCAAAGTAACATTCTTGCTCTGCAGTACTCTAAAGTGGTCTTGTGTGGCAGATTTCCCAATTGCAATAGGTCTTATGATCTCTTGGCTGCTGGTTCCATGAGCAAGATGAAATCCTGGACAACTTCAGCCTTTTCTTCATCGATCATGACGTGACCTATTGGTCCAGTCGTGGGATTGGGTTTTCCTCCACTAAGCTGTAATGCACACTGAAGGCTGTCACCCTCGATCTCCATCAGCAGGTGCTTCCGGCCCTCTTCACTTCCTGTAGGAAAGGGGTGTCCTCTCACATTGCAGGTTGTTCACAAGCCTTCCTCAAACCCTGACGCCACACTCTCCTTCACATAACCCAGCACACAGCTTGAACAAGTGTGGTGAGAGGATACACCCTGACACACACCTTTCCTGATTTGAAACCACGTAGTGTTCCCTCGTATTTTTCCCTCTTGATCCCTGCCCAAGGGAGCACAATGGCGTGTCCTGCAATTCCAGGCCTTCTCAAGGCTGCCCATCGTCTGTTATGATCCACACAGTCGAACGCCTTGACATAGGTAATAAAACACAAGTAAACACCTTTCTGCTTTTCTCTGATTTGAGCCAAAATCCTCTGCCGTCAGCAATAGTATCCCTGGTTCCACGTCTCCTCCTGAATCCGGCCCGAACCTCTGACAGTGCCCTGTCAAGGCAGTGCGGCAGGCTTTGTTGGATGATCTTCAGAAAAATTTTCCTTGTCTGTGCTATCAGTGATGTTGTCCTATGTTTTGAGCACTCTGCTGAGAAAGAGATTTACTTGCAAGACTGCGAACAAGTGGTCCTGTGGTGTGTGTTTCAGGACTGCGTTCTGGCCCCATGCATACTGACTGAGCCTTCCGCCCTGGGCTCTGGGTTCTCTGCACTGCATGCTCTGCTCTTGCTCTGCAAGTTTGGAGCCCTGGCCCAGGGCGGCCCCCGCGTGCTGGGCTTCTGAGGAAACGAGTGGTCCACGTGCCTCTCTGGGGACCACCTGAGTTTCTGTTGGACACATTCCTGTAGTCATCGCAGCACAAGCTTCACATTCTCCCCTTTCCTAACATTTCCGTTGCCACGAGGGGCCAGAGCCTGCGCTGCTCCGTCGAGCCTACACACGTGCTTGCTGCCGCCGGTGCCCATTGCGTGGCCCGTGTCCAATGGGCTGAAGCACAGCGTGGCCCTATGTTGTCCTCAGAATTGCTCTTTTGTGTGGGCCCACTGCGTCCACCCATCTCACAGAGGGCTCCCTCTGTGTCACTTCATGTGCCTTGGTTTCCAGGGTCCAGTCCTCACTCCACACGAGGCGAGTGCAAACAGCACAGCTTGGGGAAGAATGATTAAACTTCACTGATTAGGTGAAAACTCTGCTCCTTCAAACAGGACAATTGCCCCCATCTGCCCAATTCCGGCCAGGAAGACTTCGACAAGGATGGGATTGGCGATGCCTGTGACGAGGATGATGATGACGACAGCGTGAGCGACGAGAAGGTGGGGCGGCTGGGGACTGCGCCCCCGCCAGGTCAGGGAGGAAGGTCTGAAGGTCATGGTGGTCATCCTAGAGGGCCCTTGTCAATAGCGTCACTGGTTTTGAAGGGCTACAAACAGGGCATATCAGCCAAGGACACAGCAGGTCCGCAGCACAGGGGGACCGTCCAGATCCTCGGCCAGCAGGGTTGCCCGTGGTGTGGCTCCCTTTGAGTGCCCAGAAGCGAGCCTCACCACAGGCTGACTGTGCCTGGCCTGCGAGGAGTGGACAAGGCGGCTGCCTCCACTGGGGTTACACTTGACTCAGCAGCAGTACTGAAGGACTTTCGTTTTCTAAGAAAATTACTGCAGAGCGCAGGTGCTTCACTGCATCGGTACATGCTGCATTGCTAGCTGGGAGAGAGTGCCGGGTTTCCATCCACCACTTTCCCGCACGTGGCTCTCCTTGATTCGCTGCCTCATGGACTCCTTCCTCAGAGCCTCGCACACACATTCCCACCATGACGTGCATGGCGCCATCCTTGGGGGCAGCTGCATCTAGGGGCAAAAAGTGACATGGCATCGGCAAAGCATCTCCTCGGCTTCCATCGACCCCACATGGCTCCTTTGAATGCTGACTGCCCTGCCCTGCTTTGCATGAGTTAGAAGCACCCCACGGGGAGCCGTATGTTACTGCTTCCATCCCAGCCTTGAAGCACCCCACGGGGAGCCGTATGTTGCTGCTTCCATCCCAACCTTGCTTTTGCCCCCAGGACAACTGCCCGTTGCTATTCAACCCGCGCCAGTTCGACTACGACAAGGACGAGGTGGGAGACCGCTGTGACAACTGCCCTTATGTACACAACCCGGCGCAGATCGACACCGACCACAACGGCGAGGGGGACGCCTGCTCTGTGGACATTGACGGGGACGGTCAGTCCTGGGCTCGCTGCCATCCTGTGTCCCAGAGGGATGGCAGCCCCAAGCTGAGCTCCATCCCAACCACGCCCGATACTCACCCTCGGCTGCACCATGTGTGCTGCCCCGCCCACCATGTGTCTGTGCTCCCTGGGTCTCAGGGGCTGGGGTTTTCAGAAGTAGACTACCAGGCCTCTCTTCCAAGGCCCCTCTGAGTGGACTTGAACGTCCAGCTTCCGGTCAGCAGCCACCTGTGTTAGCCACTGTGCCCAGTGTCTCGCGTGAGGGAGGAAGTGATTCATTAAGTCCTTCTCACAGATGCTGCTCTGTTGGCTTCTCCCACCTTCTCCTTTCCCGTGGGCCCCAGAGAGGGGTCCCAGCCTCAGGACCACCTTGGAGAAAGCAATGCCTCTGACGTGAGCCTTTCGTCATTCGGGGTGGGACCCTCACGTTCCCCGTGGGAGACACAGTTTAGACTGACCTAGCGTCTTGTCTAGCTCTTGGGTCTCTGGTGGTGCTTCGGGTTAGGCATAGGCTGCTAACTTAAAGGTCATCAGCACCCCTGTCCGCCTCTCAAAGCAAGAAAGATGAGGCCACGTGTTCTTGGAAAGAGTGTCAGCCTCAGAAGTTCTGCGGGGCAGACCTGCTCTGTGCCACATGGCTTCAGGAGTGGGTGAGTGGGAATCCTGTCTGGCTTCCTCTCTCTTGACGTCTGCCCCTGTGGCTGAGCTGCTGTGATGTTGGAGAGGCCTCAGGGGACTCTCAGACTCAGAGGGACCCCCAAGGCCTGGTGTCTGCTTCCAAAATCAGCCAGTGAGAAGCCTGGGTTCTTGGACTTTCATCTGCTCCCACCAGGGGGACAGGCAGGGCCACATGGCTTCTGGTCCATGGGGTCCGGGGTCGTCGTGACTCAGGGCTGACAGCTTCTTCCTTTCCCGCCTGTAACTTGCCCTGCTCAGGATGAGTGGGACTCACCCATTCCTCTGGCAGAGGCTGGCTGGGACCCCGGCTCCCGGTGTCGGTCCTGCAGCACCTCGCTTGCTCCCTACGGCTACCAGCCGCAGCCCCTCAGCCTCCCTCTAATGGACTCTTTTGCCCCATGGTATGTTTTTGCCAGATTTACATAGACATGCCAAAGGCCCTTCTTGCCATGTTAGCCATTCCTAAGAGGGCCCTAGTTATGTATGGTTACACACCGGGCTGTAGCTACAAGGTCTGCAGTTCGAAACTACCAGCCACTCCCAGGGAAAGCCATGGGGCTTTCTATCCCCGTAAAGGCGACTGACTCCCAAACCCAGTTCTACCCTGGACTAAAGGGTCTCCAGGGGTCAGCACTGCCTCCAAGGCAGCGTGCTACGCGTGCAGTCCGGGGGAGTGGAGGACACTGGCCAGGCTCACAGCCAGTCACCAGGTCCAGTCTCTCTTCACTCGCTGACTGGCCCCAGCCTGTGGTTCCCGTACACATGCCCGCCCACTCCTGCTGCCCTGAGGAAAGCTCGAAGCTGGGATGGGGGGAGGGGAGGGGAGGGAACCTCAGCACCCTGGCACTTGTGGGGCCATCGGCCTGAAGTTGATGGTGTGTATGGGGTCTTTCCTGTCTTGGGCTGGTGGTTCAAATCCACCAGCTGATCCACAGGAGAAAGACGAGGCCACGTGCTCCCTCGGGGCCACAGGCTGGGACAGTTCCCTTCTGCCCCGCAGGGCCCTTGGGGTGAGGCTGACTGGACACGCGGTGGGGGTGAGGTTGCTTTTCTTTCTGGAGTACTCGCTGGGTTAAGCGTTGGCCTGCTAACTCAGAGGTCAGCGGTTCTAAACCACCTGTGAGCCTCTGGAGAAAAGAAGAGGCTGCCTGCACCTGTGAAGATGTACAGGCTTAGAACCCACAGCAGCGACCCTACTCTGTCCTCTCGGGTGGAGAGCGTCAGAACTGACCCCGCGGAGGTGGGCTTTTGGCTTCTTCTCTGGACGTCCACCCCTATGCTTGCCTCCTCCCACTTGCTCAGCTCCCACTCCCAGCCCCTCTCCCTGACAACCTCTCCCTGACTCTCAGCTCCCAACCTCCCTCTGGGCCTGAGACTGTGCTGAGGCCCCCAGGCTGCGTGCCTCCCCAGGCCACTTGCTTCTGCAGGTGTGGCGACTGATACTCACAGGCATCCTTCCTTGTAGCTCCTTCAAAAGGACTTGCTTTCCTGTTGCTGACACACCTGCTCCCTGGTACCGGTCAGCTGTAGAGCTGAGGACCATGTCTGGCGGCTGGTCCCTCCCCGGGGAGTAGGTCCCAGATTTCTGGATGTGATGGTTGTGTGTTGGTCTGCAAGTGCAAGGCCAGCAGTTCAAAACCACCAGGTCTCCAAAGCAAGATCAGGCTTTCTACTCCCCAGAGGAATGGCGATCTCAGAGGCCCACAGGGGTACTCTCTCCTGCCTTGTAGGGGCACCAGGAGTCGGCACAGACTGTGTGGCTGTGAGTGAGTTTGAGGCTCCTGTGGGAGCAGGTGCATGTTGGGTGCGGCCATTCCAGACTGTGGCAATGTTAACAAGAGTGAAGCAATGACCCCGCTAAGCCAACGGGGAAGGAGGCACATGTGCGGTTCATGCGGACAGGCTTCCCAGGAATGTTTATCGAGAGTCTTCAGATGGTGCTGTGCCCATACACAGTGCTCGCCTGGCAGAGCTCTTGTTGGATTGGCTCCGGGAATCTAGCAGCTTACCTTGTAGAATTTAGATACCCCATTGTCTCATAACCAGGAGCCCTGGTGGTGTGGTGGTTACACATCGGACTGATAGCCACAAGGGCAGTAGTTCTAAACCACTCACTGCTCCGAGGGAGAGAGACAGCATGATGTGCTCCTGTAAAGAGTTACAGCCTTGGCTGCCCTTAGGGAGCTCTGCTGTCCTGCGGGGTCGTGGGGAGTCGGCAGGGACTTGTTGGCAGGGAGTGTGGTTTGGGTTTCTGTAGCGAGCCACCTGTTCAGAGGTCGAATCCTTGGGGGGCTCACTCAGTTTAGTGACCTGATGTGGTCTTACCCAAGGCCGCCAGCACTGACTGCATTTTAAGGAAGTTTCGATGTAGGAATATGACATATGTTCTCCCATGAATTATCTTTAGCCCTACTGCCATCTTTGGCCCCTCAGTCACAGGACTGATTGTTATTGAAGAAAAGCCCGGCGCAGAAAGGAAGCAGCGTGCTCTCCCTGCGCGTGCGTGCGTGGCTCACGTCTCCTCCTTGGCTCTCCAGATGTCTTCAACGAGCGCGACAACTGTCCTTATGTCTACAACACGGACCAGAGGGACACTGACGGCGACGGCGTGGGTGACCACTGTGACAACTGCCCCCTCATGCACAACCCTGAGCAGGTAAGCTAGCTTCTGGGCCTGTGAGCAGAAGTGGGCAGAGGGTCTGAGGTCCGGATCAGTGGATGAAATGTACCAGGGTGCTTCAAAGGCTGGCCATGGCATTTCCCCGGGCCCTGTGAGGCTGGGTGTGTGGGGAGGTAGAGGTGTGCAGGCAGATGCAGACGCAGGTGTTGACGGTGCAGACACGTGTCCTTCACCACTCACCTGAAGTTCCACAGTTTGCACCCACCTAGGGACTCCACAGGGAGCCTGGCAGTGCTCACGGGCAGGTGACAGCCCACCAGGAAGACCCTGCGGAGCACAGCCTGCTCCCCGTGGGGTCAGGGTGCCCGTGCGTCAGCATCGACCGACTTGGTGGCAACAGGCTTGGTGCTCAGGCAGACAGACAGACATGCCCTCATCCTGGCATGATGGCGGTATCAACAATGCAACCCCCACGGGTTCCCTGGACGCAGGCCAAGGAGAGCTGCAGGATCTCAGCGGTCAGAGGCTGGGCGTGTGGGTGCTGCAGCCTCCCCTGGGAAGGACGGGGCCTCAGTCTGCTTCTCTCTGATCCCCTGGCCCCTGAGAGAAAGGTGGGAATTGGCGACACATAGGGATTTGCCTTTGGGCCAGGTGAGTGAGGACAGGATGCTCGCTCACCTATAGAACGTGTTGTGGGGCTGCTGTGGTGATGGACTTCCATTCTGCTGCGGCCAGAGTGCACCGTGGAGACAGCGTGCCGAAGAACGGCGAGTCCCCTGCTGGGGCGTAGATGTGACAGACTGACCGAAAGGTCTGGCCACTCTGATGGCCCCACATCGAGTGGCCTCCACTCGCCTGGTCTCCTGCCCTCCCAGGTCTCGAGCCCGGCTCTCTGCAGCATCTCAGTCCTCTCCAAGGCCTTCCCACTCCCACGCCTTCCTCTCTTTCTGCCCCCAGACGGATGTGGACAATGACCTTGTGGGAGACCAGTGTGACAACAATGAGGACATCGACGAGGACGGCCACCAGAACAACCAGGACAACTGCCCCTACATCTCCAATGCCAACCAGGCTGACCACGACCGCGACGGCAAGGGGGACGCCTGCGACTCGGACGATGACAACGATGGCGTCCCTGACGACAGGGACAACTGCCGGCTGGTGGCCAACCCCGGCCAGGAGGACTCGGACGGTGGGTGCTGAGCCCTCGAGTCGAGTGCAAAGGTCCCTGGGAACAGCCCTCATGGGCGGGGGTCGTCCGTCATCGTCAGGCCATGGTGGGGAGAGGCGGCCCCTCTGGAGGTGGCCAGGTGTCCCATGTGGGAGGTGTGTCGGTCTGGGTAGGCTAGAGAATCAAATCATAGACACACATAGGTGTACAAGAGAGAGCTTTATATAAAAGAGCAGTTGAATATCGAGAAAACATCCCAGTCCAGTTCAGAGCAAGACCATACGTCCAATATGAGCCCATATGTCCGATACCAATCTATAAAGGCCTCTTCAGACTCATGAAACACATGCAATGACTCGGAATGCAGGAAGATCACAGGCCAGTGGGTGGAAAGTCTTGTGGATCCATTGGCATTGTAAGCATCTCAGCACTGGTAGGGGTCTCCACGTGGTTTCTCTAGCTCCAGAGGTCTGGCTCCATCAGCCTAGCCCCATGTGTCTTGTCAGTAGTGTAGCCCCATGAGTCTTTCTCGGGGAGTGAACAGAGAGACAGAGTGTGTCTCCCACCTCCAAGGAGGAAGTCAAGAGTTCCCAGAATCCTCAGGAGAAGGCCATGCCCACATAGAAGCCTCATTGGCTATCACCTGATTGACAGGCTAGCCTCCACCCCTCCCCTCTTGGTGCTCTCGAATTGACAAGCAATTATTTAACTTTCCCAAGAGGTGCCCCTTCTCTCCTGCCGTCCCGCGCAGCACGTCCCTGGGTCTTTCTCTGTGTGAGCCAATGGACGAGAGGTGGGGTCTGCTGGTGTGAGTTGGGGCAAGGCCATCTTCACCAGGCCCGTGCGCATCGTCAAGCTTTGCACTGTCGCTAACAGAGAAAGGGCCTCCTCCAGCGTAGCCTGAAGTGGCGAGGTCAAGGGGAGCTCTGTCTCGTAAGGGTCCCCCAAAGGAAACGGGAAAGCACTGAGGCTGCTCGGGCCAGAGCAGGGCCAGGGGTCCCCAGCAGCACAGGGGCTTGAGGGGACAACGCCACCATGTGCTGTGGCTCTTCGTGCCACTGCTCAGTCACAAACGAGGGCAGATGGGTGGTTGGCCCTGGGCCGTGGGGCTCCTGGTTGGAGCCACGCAGCATCTCAGCCGGCCTCCCTGGTCGCCTCCAGCGCTCTCCTGGGACTGCGTGTCAGTGGACTGTGATGGGGCTACAGAGCATGTGGGGAAACATCAGGATCCACAGGGCAGCCCAGAGGGCCTCCTGGGAATTGACGGGAAGCAGAAGGCTGTTTGGTGATAGGAACGCAGAGGGGTGCTTGGGTTGTGGAGGCAGGTGGGCTTGCCAGCAGAGGAGCAGACAATGGGCCCTTCAGCCAGGGAGGCGGGCGGATAGATGGACGAGAAATCCCTGTGCTGGGCAGCATGTCAGTGTGTCTAGGGTTCCCTTGAGCAAGGTGAGGAGTGTGCTGCTCCATCGGTGCACAGTGTCCATTAGTGAAGAGCATGATGGGAAGTTCAAGGAGGTTCGCATTGCACCCTTAGGGCAACAGGCCCTCAGGGGGGCTGCTCTGGGGACCAGGGAAAGAGGCAGCCACGCAAGGATGGGGTTCATCTCCCCTCATCTTCCAGGGTGGTCCACGGGCCACGTAGTTTGGTACCCTAGCCCCTGACCACCTCCCTGAAAATGTGAAAAGAAGTTTTCAACAAAGGAAAGTCTGTATCTTGTCAGGAAATATCATTTCCAGGATGGCACCTCTGCCCAAAAGGGTCCAGGCAGAGATGACGGAGAGAGGTTGGGGTGAGCATCCTGGGGAAGCGAGGGAAGCTTGTTCTCCCTGGTGGCCATCCCGGTGGCTGAACCAAGTGAGGAATCTCTCAGGTGGGATTTGAGCTTGCTGAAGCGAGTCCAGCACACAACGCGTCCACCACGGCCCCTCCTCGCTGTGCAGCGGGTCCTGAAGCCTCAGGCATTGACCCACAGGAGGCCACAAGGCACTGACCTTGAATGCGCGAGGCTACAGCACTGACTTTTCCTGGGTTGGGCGGGTAGACCCCTCTGATTGCCAGTCTCTGCTTGGCCCTCACGAACAGGCGATGGGCGGGGCGATGCCTGCAAAGACGACTTTGACAACGACAGTGTTCCAGACATTGACGACGTGTGTCCTGAGAACAACGCCATCAGCGAGACTGACTTCAGGAACTTCCAGATGGTCCCCCTGGACCCCAAAGGCACCACCCAGATCGACCCCAACTGGGTGATCCGTCACCAAGGCAAGGAGCTCGTCCAGACGGCCAACTCGGACCCGGGCATCGCCGTCGGTGAGCTCCTGGGGGCTGGGGGAGACACGGGACTGGTGGCCCCAGGGACATGGGCTGCTCCTTAGATTCCTTAATCTCCTTAAACTCAGGGACGTGGGTTGAGGGTGGCTCCTCTGGAACCCTGTCCACCGGAGCTATGAAGAACCAGCCACAGAAATAGTTCTGGGACGGGATCTTGCAGGCACACGCGTTTGCCCCTGCAAAGCCCACTCTGATCCGTGGTGACCCCGTGCATATTGCTCTCTGGACTTAGTCTTTACAAATCTATGACACGTCCCACAGGATGCTCCCCTAACTCGGTAAACGAAACCATCCTCCCACCCCCAAATCCACACAGAACCACGCATGAAAGTCCCAGCCACTGGCCACGGGCTGGTTGGAGGAGAGCCCAGGCTGGGGACCCTGCCATCCCGCGTGTCTAATGCCTCCCCTTTGACTCAGGTTTTGATGAGTTTGGGTCTGTGGACTTCAGCGGCACGTTTTACGTCAACACCGACCGGGACGACGATTACGCCGGCTTTGTCTTCGGCTACCAGTCCAGCAGCAGGTTCTACGTGGTGATGTGGAAACAAGTCACGCAGACCTACTGGGAGGACAAGCCCACCCGTGCCTACGGCTACTCGGGCGTGTCCCTCAAAGTGGTCAACTCCACGACGGGCACGGGCGAGCACCTGCGCAACGCGCTGTGGCACACGGGGAACACAGAGGGACAGGTGAGGGCAGGATGGGCGGACAGCCACCCCAGCTCCAGAATGTACCGCGGTGTTTCCCCCAATCCCCACCACCACTCTGTTGTTAGCGGTCCTTATTCACTCCAACGTAGCTGGCAGAACCCAGGAGCCAATGTCTTCATGGTGGGCAGCAGGTTGGAGCCCACAGCACCCAGCGTCATTTCCGAGGGCCTGGGCCTGCTGCGTCTGGGCCCCTGGTGGGAAGCCTCTCCCAGTGAGGCACAGGTGGACCATCTTCTGCAGACAGGCAGACAGGGTTTCCAGGTTCTCCCTGGGGAAGCAGGCGGTGAACACCTGTGGCCCCTCGACCCCAGGTGTTGGGTCCACCGAGGTTGCCGTCTGCTCTCTGCAAGGCAGCGGAGAGACAGGCACCCTGAGTATGCATTCGCAGGGGACTTTGCGCTCCTGCTGGATGAGGCTGGGCCAGGGGCGCCCGCTACTCTCAGTCATGGTGCCTCCCTCCCCCACAGGTGCGGACCTTGTGGCACGACCCCAAGAACATTGGCTGGAAAGACTACACTGCCTACCGGTGGCACCTGACTCACCGGCCGAAGACTGGTTACATAAGGTGAGGACATCTCGCTCAGCCGGGCGGTCCTTCCGTGTGTCCGTCAAAGGGTCCCACACCAGAACCTTCCTTCCCCTCGACAGCAAGTTGACCCTCTTGTCATGTTCTGTCATGGCCATGGAGCCGGTGCCGACTCCTGGAGACCGCACAGGACACAGGAGACCTGGCCCCGCGGTTGTCCGAGACTGGACTCTGGGTTGGTAGGTGCCATCGGGTAGGCTCCGACCCAGAGCCACTCTGCGCGGCAGAACGGAACACTGCCCGGCTTTGCGCCGTGCTCACAATGCTTCTCTCTGAGCCCAGGGTTGCAGCCACGGTGTCCCTCACTGCCCCCGTTTCACCAGCATGATGTCCTTCTTCAGGGCCGGGTAGTCTCTCCATCCGCGCCTTGAAGGCGCCCTCTGGCCGTGCTTCCTCTGAGACAGATCTGGGTGCCCCTTTGGCTGTCGGTGGTCCTTTCAGCAGTTTTTGCCAGCACCAGGTTTCAAACACACTGATGTGTCCCCTGCCTTCCTTATTTAATGCCCTGCTTTTACCTGCATATGAGGCAACTGAAAGCACCAGGGCCTAAGTCAGGTGCACCTTTGTCCGCAAAGCAAGCTGTGTGCTTTGCAACGCCTTAAGGAGTTCTTGTGCTGCAGACGTACCCAGTGCACCGCATCGCACCTGCCAATCTGTAACTCTTTCCAGGATCAGAAGCCTTTCTCTTCTTCCCTGGAACAGCGGGTAGTTTCAAACCACCAGCCTTGTGGTCAGCAGGCCAGTCTGTAACGCAGTGCACCGCCGGGGCTCTGCAACTGCGAATGAACACACAGGAAAACCACATCCACCCTTGAGCTGGCTCTGAGACATGGAGATCCTGTGTGTCCCCGCAGCACCTTGCTCCCTGGGCGGGTCTCAGAGGTGGGATTCTGGCGTCATACACCTCGACATGCCTCTTCTCCCCCAGACTCCTCACTTTGAACCCCTTTCTCTGTTCGGTCCCACATCTCTGCTCTGTGCAAGAAGACGGTTGGGAAGGAGACTCGAGTATTCGCCTGGGGCAGGGTGGTTTTCTTCTCCTCACCGTGACCTGGGGCTGGGCGGGGAAGGGCACAGAGAGCAGCCCCCATTCGGTGACGAGCTCGTGTGCGCTGCTTTGGAGTCTCACGCGTGTCTAGTCCTGATGTGGCAGCGTGGCCAAGCTTCAAACAGTTTCCAATACCAGCCTCGTGGGTTGCACCCTTGGCTCGATGGCATTTGAAAGCAAGTTTAGCAGAGCAGAAACATGGATGACTTAGGTTCTCCTTGTGCAGAGTTTCACTGACTTACCTGGTTGGATAGCAGGAATCATTTCCATGTACTTTGGAAATATGGTCAGGACAGACCAGTCCCCAGGGGGAGGAGGAGGTGGACATCACACTTGGTAAAGTAGAAGGGCAGCACAGAGGGCAGGACCTCAACAAGGATGGACACAGTGGCTGCAGCCATGGCTCAGACATGGAGACAGCAGTGGGGGCACGGGAGGAAGGGGCAGGCTTTCGCTCCTTGTACAGAGGGCTGCTGTGAGTCAGAGCTGACTTGAAGGCACTTAGAAACAACAACGTATTGGACTCTCTGTGGAGCTGGAATGTGCTCATCCATCGTAGGTCCAAAGACACCTGCACAGGTGGGGGGCCAGGTGGTGTAGGGGTGTGTGCTTCCTGGCAGTCTCCCAGGTAGTGTCCCACTGCTCCAAGACGGGACCCATGCTGTGAGGTGTGGGCGTGCACAGGCAGGAGTCTCAGGACCTTGGAGGAGCAAGGATCATGGCTCAGCTGAGCCACCTTGGGCAGCACCTGTCTCTGCTGTCCAGAGCTCAGCCTGGTGGGAGAAGTTCACTGGGCCTTCTTACCAGGGGAAGAACACCATGGTGTGTGAATACCATGGTGGTGTGCTGATTTAAAGGACACACCTGGCCCACCTGTGACACCAGGAAGCACTTCCCACCACAGCATGCTCTGTGGACTCTCAGATGTGAAGACCAATCAGCCTCTCCAGAGGTTGCTGGCTAGACCATGGTCAATGGTGGTCTAGCTAAGGCCAGAGTGCTGCGTAGACACGGAGGACCATTGCCTGTGGGTGAAAGGAGACATTCGGCAGCCCGGCCCACCAAGGCTTTACTGAGTCTTCGAATGGAGACCCTCACCTGGCCGTGTCACCAGCTCTTACCACGACTGACATGCCATGAGTCTGCTTCTCAGAGCTCACCTGTCTCCCCGACTCCCTTCTCTACCTTTCCAGAGTGTTAGTGCATGAAGGGAAGCAAATCATGGCGGACTCAGGGCCCGTCTACGACCTCACCTACGCAGGCGGAAGGCTGGGCCTGTTTGTCTTCTCTCAAGAGATGGTCTATTTCTCGGACCTCAGATATGAATGCAGAGGTAGGTGTGCTGTTGCCGCATCAGTCCGCTTGGGAGAGGGGATGGGACTCAGGCTTATGCTCGCCTTCCCGGAAGTTATCCACTGGAAGGATAAACTGGGAGCCCGTTCTGAAAGGTGTTTTGTTTGGCCAGCCTGACTGTTTTGCTTTAAATTGTTTTAAATCAGATCTGGGTGCCTTGGCCCACCAGTACACATTGTTCATGGTATCCTACAGAGTCCTGCTCTTTTCCCTGCTGGGCCCTTAAAGGCATGTGGTGTTAGTCTGGGTAAACTAGGGAAACACATCCAGGGAAATTCATATGTATAAGAGAGAGTTTTATAAAGGTTAAGTGCACATCAAGAAAACATCCCAACCCAGTGCTGCCCAAGCCCACAAGTCCAACATTAGCTCATATGTCCAACACCAGTCCAC